TTGAAACAGGACTGGTATTCAGAAAGGAGTATGAACTCACATTTTGGGAAGGGTGAGGTAGGATGACTGTAGATTTTTGGCAGGAGACCACTTGAAGAACACAAGAAGTGGGCTGACCTAGATGCCTGATAAGAGGCTCGGTGAAATGAAAAGTGGGTGGACTTGGAGAAGAACTGGGTGGACCTGATTGTTTTGGCACTTAGGTATTTGATGTTTGATTTCYAGGGCAGCAAAATTTTAATCACCTATTGTTCGTTATTGGTTGGCTCCTTAGTGGCATGACTTGCATCTCTCTCCCCCAGTGGTTGCTGGGATGTGTGGAGCTCGGGAGAGGCTTTGTGCTGCAGTTAGGGAGGAAAGAAGTSTCCTGGGTTGCAGATGCTCTGGAGGAATGTTTCTGTGGAGGACGTTGTGTGGAGGGACATCTGAGGAGCGAAGAGAGGGAGGCTTTGGGGGCTGCTYCTTTGTTCACAAGGGGATGTCGAGGTTACGTGGTTTTGGGATGTAAGCTCAGCATGATTTGTGAACTGATATTAAACAAAGATATTGCTGGGCTCTGTGGCATTTACAATGCCCAACTCCTCTTGCTGACCCCTGTCATCAACACTGCCACTCTTCCTGCTGCTGCCAGGACTTGTGCTGCTCAAAAAGTCGGTGCAATGATGGTACTCATTAAGAGAGTAAAAACTGAGCAACTTGAATATCTTCAATTGAAGACATTGCCTCTAGCTGAGTTTATTCAGAGTTTATTCAGCTTTTTGAAGAGTAAAATACTCTGAACGTGTGTAAATAGTCATCCCCATGCATAATAGACATCAGTAGCTGGGTCTTGTATTTTTAAACAAGTTACACACACACCCACACACACACCCACACATGCAGTTACCTGTATGGGAGATTCTGTGTGCCTGTGTGTTTGTTGAGGTATTGTTTTACTTAATAATATTGGCTATGATTATTGGCTGGAAATCTCTGATGCTAGGAAGAGACAAAATACATTTCAAGATGTTATTTTTTAAACTCAAGGCACAAAGCTGAGATAAATGATATTATGTGTCTGCTTTCTTTGACAGTCTAAAAAGCATCTTACGTTATGAAAGACCTAAAATTCATGAAACCCACCATAATTCCTTTCCTATTGCCTTTTTACATTGTTTTTTTTGTTTTTTTCAGAATGCAACTGTATCACAGTAGTAAATCTAAAACAACTCATCGCTGGGAACAGTCCTTAGCTGTACCACTATTCCTCGACTCTTGCACTACAACTGCCAATTCCTAGAAACCTTTGGTGTATTTACCTTTAGCCTGTGTTAGGTAAYCAGGGGAGCTCGCAGGACACAAAGACTTATCCTGTGTGTATGATTCGTATCTCTGAACCCAGACACCATTTCTGCCAACATACCTTCTTTATCAGCTRCACTGCTGCTGCTCAGTCCTGCTCCTCCCATCCCTTTGCACTTCCTCCCATTTCACCAGAGAAGGGACAGCTTTACCTGAACAAGATAGGGGGAAATGAAATGAGAGGAAGGTGCAGAACTCTACAGGTTCATGCTTTGACCACTTCACATGATATGGTGCAGTATTCTGGCTGATGCCCAGGAAGTTCTGCCTGGACATGAGGCAGAACTTCTGTCCTGTGCAGTGACTGAGCAGGGAGGGTGTGCAGTCTCYTCACTGGGGATAATCCAGAAATGCCTGGACAAAGTCTGTGCTGTGTGCTCTGGGATGGCCCAGCTGGAGCAGAGAGGTGGCGTCAGATGCTCTACTGTGGTCCCTTCCAGCCTGACCCATCCTGGGATTCTCTGATGATAGTGGGGAATTGAAAGCTGTCTTTACATTTTGCCCCCACCTCTGTGGAGAAGCACACCTCAACTCCTGGACACTGCTCTAGGTAGTTCCAACCCTTGTTTCGTGAGTCTTTGTACACTGTAGCTGTGTAAACTTCTGCRCACTGGAGGCCTTAATGGCTTAAACACATGCTGGTCTGTGAGGTTGGCTGCCTGTGGCACTGTGATGAGGAACTGCCCTTGCTTGCCCTGCAGCAAGTGGAAAAACTTCCACTGGCTTCAGTGGGAGAATCTGTGACAAGCAATCCCATGAGCATTGTTACTTTCAGCCCCTAATTCTGCAATTACTGAATACAAAGGGCCATGCGTAAAGCCCAGGGCTGTAATTACTGTTTTGGCTTYCCTGATGATTTATCTTAGGCACCACCAATGAACTGTGCAGCTTAATTACAGCAGTTACTTGGAGGGATTGTGCAAATTCCAGGTATTTATTGTGTTCAGGGAAGAACTTGCCCAGCTAAATCAGATCATACATGTGCAGGGATCTCCTTTGTCATTYATATGCTGTRTATGGAAAACTGAAATGCAATTGTRTTGTATGTGCCAGGTGCTGAATGACAGCAGAGAGCACAAAGCACTATTGTCTGCAGTCCAGCTTAATTCCAGAGGAATTAAACCCCTTGAAGYTYATCAAAGCTTCTCTGATAGTACTATGGTTAAGTGACTTGAATATTGGCATCATAATTTGGATCAGTGTTTACTGATTGCAAATTTTGTGGTATAATGCAATAAATATAATAAAACAAATTCTGTGTTTATCAGAAAAGCCTGGTCTGRTGCACTTTGGCTTTCTATTCAAACCTACAAGCAAGTGGTCTTAAAACCTGCTGTGCTGAGGTCTGACAGTCACTGCAGGTGCCCAGGATCTTTTACAGCCAAACCTGTTATTTGGTTTCACACATCTCAAATGGATTTGTTTGCAGGTTACAAAGGTCTTGAATTGCTGGTTGTTTAACACAGGTGTYGGTTACAAACCAGCAGCTTTTGCTTTTGGCTCGGTATAAAAGTGGGATTTGAATATTCTGAATTGTGTATCAGAGGAAGTGGTCAGTGTTTGAAGAGACTCTTCTGTTCACATCCACAGAGCAGGCTGAAGTYTTGCATCATGTGCAATGTGCAGCTCAGCTCTCCCTACAGCTCCGTAACAAGCACCTCCAGAGTAAACAAGGAGCTGTTAAACTCTCTGAAGGTCATGCAGCTGGAATACAGGATGAATGACATTATGTGGAAATTCTGGGGATTAARTTGTTGGAGGACTGTTAAATAGACAAAACAATACTTTCCTTAGATTTTTGTCATGTGTTACAAGAAACAAAGGTGTGAGAAGCTGAGGCGCTGAGCAARGGCTCAGGAGATGATGTTCCTGCTCTGTCATGCCACTGCCCTGCCACATGTCCATTAACTGTTGTGTGCTCTCATTTTGTGTCCATAGGACTGGAGCAGCCCCAATTCCTTTCTCCTTTGTCTTGTCTGATGTCTTTGGTTCCTGTTGTCTACAGAAGTCATTTATGGTCCTTGTCTTTGTGCTTTTAGAGAATGCTTAAATGCAGGTGATTGGTATTGATTGTTTAATGTCTGTTCTCTGCAAGGCCGGTGTGTTTGAGCACTGCAGCTGGCTGCCTCAGAGAGTGTGCAGTGTCTCATTTGCTGTCCTCAGCACCAACACCTTGTTTTCTGTATGGCTTTTTTCATGTATGTGCCATGGTGAAAGTTTTGTTATACCCACAGCTGTRCAAGTTGTCASCAAGGATTACGGGRGACTCCTTGTGAATTATGGTTGGCTTTTCAGTATGTCTCCAKCCTGACAGTCCTTAAGGTCAAACCTTATGGGTTCCTCCTTAAAARACATTTGAGGGATTTTGTTGAGAGTGAGAAGTACTCCTTGGCATTAAAATCTGTTGGCAAAACTTCTGTTAAGGTAATCCTTTCCTGTCAGCTCTCTGTGACTCCAGGTTTTAGGTGCTGTTTATAGGAAGCTTTGGCCTATTAGAGTGTGGACAAGGTGTAGCAAGACTGTAAGACTTCCTGAGTCCTGCTTTCCAAACCACACTTTCTTTTTGCTAAGCCTGGCCTAACCTACAAAGTGAGAAAACACAACTCCATAAGGTCCTCAGCTCACTCCTGAAGCTGTTTYCTTCAATTCCCCTTCCTCACTGACACCTCACTTTTGCCTCCAAGTATGTTCTGAGATTGGAGCTGCTGACTTCYGTAATTCTCTGTTGTTTTTGCCTCTGGGAGCTGCAGCCACCGTGGGCATTTTGTCAGCAGTCAGCTTGCTAGAGGTAGAAAATTCATGGGTGTGCTGGGGGATCGGTCTCACTGCACTCGCTAGAGGCAAAGCCTTCACCAACTTGAGTGAAAGCTCAATGCATTTGTTGTGTAACTTGGCTGAAGCCAAATTGTGTTTTTTCTGGCAGTTTCCAACAGAAATGCTGCTAAGACTGTTGCTGTGAAGTGGCAGGGCAGTAGTGTGTCCCTAAACATGATTTTCCTGAATAATTSTTTGAAATGGGCAAATTATTTACAGGATGCTTCCTGAAAGGAAGCTGAAATTATGTTTAGCAAGTTCTGAGATAAGTTTAACAATTCATACTTTTAAATTTTATTGTTTATTTAACTTCTAAAATATTGCAAGAAWTATATTAGATTTGTCGTCTAGATTTTCTGCTGTGGATTAAAGAAATGCTTATTCATTTTAGTGCAGGAAAATGTGKTCCTGGGAGTTTTGATCAGAGCTGAACCCTAATTCCACATGCTTCCTCAGAGGAAAAAGATTGGAAATGGTGAAGAAGAAAACCTGGTAGCTGCAGAAAATCACACTGTTTCTGATTGAGGGTTAATGGGTTTTATGAAAGAAAACACAAATTTTACATGTAATATCAATGTATGCGTTGTAGCAAAAGGGATTTTAACCAGGTTTCAAAGAAGTGGGCTCTGAAACACAGGGCCATAATTTAGTGCAGAAGAGAGGAAGGAAAATGTAGACTTTTCTTGGTTATGCTTAGTAACTGAATAACAGATGTATTCTAAGGTATTTTTTGTATTATGTTGGAGAAATGTGGAAGCTTCTGTATCTATGGTGTGGCAGGTATGTGTCTACATTTATAAAACAATGCCATGTTTTAGTGAGTGTGATAACTTTTGTTTTTCTAGGTTAGTGGATGACCGGTGTGTGGTCCAGCCAGATGCAGGTGACCTTGCTAATCCTCCAAAGAAGTTCAGAGGTGAGTAAATGGTGATCATTTCTCTTTAATGACCAACTGATGCAGTTGTAACTCCTTGGGCACTTTTGTCRTGTAACTTCCCACATGGTTTGTGGACACAGGGACGAAGTTTCAGACTGGAGCATGAATGATGGATTTTGAGAATTAAATAGTTAATTTACAAAGGCATGATAGGTGGAAAATGTGGGGAAAGTATTTTCTTATAGTCTAAGAGTTGGTTGCTGTGTTCTTTACACTGAAGACTGATCCCCTGCTGTGTGACAAACTCTTTGCTCCAGCCCTGCTCTTACTGTAAATGGGAAACAAACTTGAAGTCCAAAGCTACTTGARCTGATGGATTGTTTATTTTTTTTTCAAGATAAGATAGCATTTTAAGGACTAGCCCCAAATAATTTGTCAGCTTTTTGTTTTGCTTTTGCTTAAAACTGTATCTAATTTTTTTCAACTTGACCTTGTTGAGGTGGATAATTCTGCTGTTTTGCTTATTGGAAAAAAATAGGAGTGCACTGACAACATGTAATTTTTGCTTCTTGAATGCTAAAAGAAATATTCTGCTCTGTGCGAGAGCAGAGCCTTACTAGCCTGATTCAGGCCTCTTTTGGCTTAAAAGGGTTTGGATTCACACTGGTTCTGAAATAAAGAGTTATGACTTGCCAGATTTAGAGCAASGGTAATGCTCTAAGTGTTTCATGGCTGTTTGTATCTRCTTYCAATGATCTTTAAGGACCYTTCCAACCCAAACCAYTMTATGATCTTGAGGGGTTGCACCAAYGTGATTAACCTTAGTGTTTCATTTCCAATGTTTATTTTTATGCTATTATTGCACAAAATAAAGCATTTAAACACTGGGAGAGTGAAGTTCTGCTTTCCCAGAGAATTCAAGCCTTTTTTCCATTATATATTCAGGAAACATCAGCAGTTGGTTCCAGTTCCAGCTGTGAGCATTCAGCACACTGGCAGATACTGAAACTGAGAAAGTGAGGATGCAGACTTAGAAACCAACAGTAATAAATTTCAGTCATGTGTGATCAAATGACTTTAAAGCAGAGCTGGAGGTAGCATAGTGTGGCTTTCAGGCTACTTAACTGGGATTTCACCTTCTCACTGCCTGCAAGTACATGTGTAATTCACAGTTTCCAGTCTGCACAAAATTTCAAGTGAGGATTCTTTGGACAATATTTCTGTCCCTGGACTAGCCTGATAGTTCCTAAAGTGTTCCTAAAGTTGGGCATGTCCAAGTTTCTAGATGAAAGCAAGGTTGCTGGGAAAGATTTGTGATAGGAAAATTGCAGAATACACCCAAATGACACCCAAATTAAGGATCTGAACATAGCTTWAAAAGGCAGCCATCATTTTTTCAGTGTCTAGTGTTTGAGGGCTTGATTTTATAACTTCAGTACAGTGGAAAACTTTTATTGCAGCTCTGTGTTGTTCGTTTCTAGCTTCAAAAGGCAAAGAAAGAAAAAGCTGGTAATGTTCTGTGTTGATTTTTTTTTAACAGTGATTGCAGCAGCATCAAGCAGGTTTGGGCATTTTGATGCAGGGTGGAAGCTGTCTGAACTCCCAACACTAATGGCTTGCCATTAGTGATAGCAGCACATGTGGAGCAGATGTCGGAAGGGGATGGGACACTGACAAATGTACAGCTGTTTCCTGCTGCTGGGGAAAGCAAAGGCTGTAGTCTTGAATTACATCCCAGCTTCTGTAGGGGACTGGTTTCTGTTAGTTGTGGACAGTTTTGGCTCTGTCCCCTGTTGTAACCTCTGTCTGTTGCTTGCATAACACATCCCTTTATCTCCAGCTGGCTTTGCTCCCTCTTCTCCACAGCATCTAACCTTTCCTTTCCTCAAACTCAGATCCTCCTCTTTATGGGGATTCCCWCTTGTCCCTCTCCCTCCCTGCCCCAAAACCTTTTAGTAGCTACTTCCCTCCTCTTCCCTGCTGCCTCTTAGCTCCCTTTGCAGCCTTTCTTCTTGTCACTCCTTAGCTCCTTCTACTTTACAGTGCACCCAGAACTGACTTGATTTTGGTACTGCTGGCATTGTGGCAGCATGCAAATTTGGCTGAGCTGCAGCACAGAATGACTTGGATTGGAAGGGACCTTAAAGATCATCTCATTCCATTCCCCCTGCCGTGGGCAGGGACACCTYCCACTATTCCAGGTTGCTCAGAGCCCCATCCAACCTGACACTTCCAGGGATTCAGTGGCAGCCACAGCTTCTCTGGGCAACCTGTGCCAGGGCTTTACCATCCTCAAAGGGAAGAATTTCTTCCTAACATCCATTCTCAATCTATCCCCTTTCAGTTTAAAGCCATTCCCCCTTCTCCTGTCACTCCAYGCCCTTCTAAAAAGTCCTTCTCCAGCTTTCTTGTAGGCCCCCTTTAGGTACTGAAAGGTGCTATAAAGGTCTCTAACACCTGTAGGAGAAACTAAATTACTGAGAAACTGGKTTTTGTCACATTAATTGATGCAACCCAGTATTCTATAATATCATTGTTAGGGGCTGCATCTAATATAATTTTCCGGCTGCTTCAGGTATCCTTAATCAAGGTGTGTTTAAGGTGGATGGCTGCAGGAAAGATAAAGCCATCATTTGGATGTTTACTCCTTCATCCTACAAGTCAAATTTTGAGTGTGAGAATAGAAGGAGCTCTGTTGAGAGCTCAGCAGAAACTTGCTGTCTAATTGAGATTTAGTGCCTTGTACATGGAGGTGTCTCTAGCATGACAGCAACCAAAAGCACAACTCTGCCATGCTTTCTTAAATTTCTCAGCTCTGCTCAGAACCCTGAGGCAAAAGAGTTGCTAAATGTTGTCCCTACAATCAGGAAATCTAAGCTAAATCCATATTTTTCTCCCCAAGAATCTTCTGGGAAACAGCTTTCAATTAAAGCAGCAAAGTTAATAAACCAAACAAAAACTGCTTTAAGTAGGTTCCTGACATGAAAGGAAGACTTAGGCATGAATGATTAATTGAATGATTAGACATAAGCAACTGAAAATAGCATTTAAGAGCAGGATGACTAGGGCCTCTTCAGTAATAAGAATTGCTGTCTGTATGGTTTACAATGTTTTTATCACTGATAGCTGAACTGGCGGTGATTTGAGGTTGGAGCATGACCTGGGAGTCAAAGAAGTATGAGAAAAACATGTTTCTAACAAGATGTTTAGATTTCAAGGACTGACTCYGAAAATTAATATCAGAGAGGACTGTGTTTTCTCTTTTTTGGTAATATTTTATCAACCCTTTCCCCAGTGGGAGGGACAAAAAGATTRTGTTTTTGAACTGCTTGTATCTCTCCTACAGGGTTCACTCAGAGATCAAATTAAGGTGCTGAGCTCTTGGCCTGAACTGAAAGCCTATGTAAAGAGGTGTCTCAAAATAGCAGTTTCGTTTTTGTTATGTGTTTACTTTCTTTTTTTTTTTTTTTTTTTTTTTTTTGAGTGGGTGGTTGCTATTCTGGTTGTTTCAGAACATCCTACAGCACAGTGTGTTGTTAAGCTAAGGAAAGCCGTGGTTCCTCCTCATTTTGTGTCCATCTGAAGAGGCTGTGCTCCCCATTTCTCCCCCGGTCACACTGGGATGAGCCTGGAGTGGCTCTGTGTTCATCAGGGTGCACATCCAGATTTGCATAGTGCAAAGGATGGCGGAATTTGATCCCGCATGTATTTCCTGGAGCCTGGTGAAAAAAAGAAACAACCCACTGCACACTTACTGTTTGGCAGTTGAATTGAAAGGACTGATCGATCCAGGTGCTTCTYGTCTTAATTCCAGCTGAAGCTGGTGAGCTCCAAGGCACTGAATGTCACGATGGAAATGCTTTGTGGGCTGCAGGGCTGGGTTCGCAGAGATTGGGAACAACAGTGTGCCAGGAATCGTGTACCTCTGAAGAGAAGCCACATCATGAGCCCCAGAACTGCAARTTTCCTTAGTCTGGGGCCCTAAAGACATTTCAGCTTGATGCTCCCATCTGCAATGGGAAACACTTTCAGTTTCCAGGGTTTAAAATAGGACAGACAGGACCTGCTTATTGGTCAGATTTAGCAACTCTGGGAAAGGTGTACAAACCTCTGTCTCTTTTTAAATGTAAAATGACCTAACTTTTTAAACTGGTCTCAACTTCCTTACATTTTGTATTCCTTTCTTTTCTTGAGGCTTCTGCAGTGAAAGTGATGCTTGGGTTCCTAAATATCATCCCTTTGCCTTTCAGTTTTTAGTCTGATCTAAGGTTTTTCTGACAATTGTTCTTTTGTCTTCTCTCCCTTCCATTATATTCTTCCTTTCTTCCTCCCATCCTTTCCTCTTCCATCTGCCATTTTTCTTTTTACTTGCCCTTTTCATAGTTTTGGTTTGTCTTTTTATTTTCTCCTTCTCTCAGTTCCATAATTGCTTTAATTCACTTAGCTCTTTTTTACCTTTTTTTTTTTTTCTAGTTTTTTGTTTCTAAAACAAGTAGATTTGTACACACTGTGATTTAATAGCCCCGTTACTTCCACTTTCCCATTTCTCTGGTTTTAGTAAAGCCATGTGATAATTTCTCTAGTTCTGCAAACCAAAGAAATCTTCCATGACGGGCAAGAGTTGAATTTCTAACACTAACAAAAAAACCCCAAGAGAAGGCAGGGAGAGAAAGCATCTGACAAATACTGTTCCAACCCATCTTTATCTAATATTCAAGAAATATTTAAAGGGCATAATAGGAGTTATTTTCCTTTTCAGACTTCCTAAGTGTAGGTGCTATTTGCTTACCTTTGACATTGCCTCCTTAATTAGTGTCCTCAGGAAGAGAAGCATTTATGTAAAACTGCACAGAGTAATAAATTGGGAATTAGGACTATCTGAGAATGTCTGGAGAAGTCAGAAGAGACGTTCTGTCTCATGAGTGGGTTGCTAGACTGACCTCCAGGAGGGATGAGCTTTTTGATCTACTRTGTGTGCTGGAAAGTTGCTTTATAATCTTATGCCTCAATTTCTCTTTTTTTTTCCTGTTTATTTGAACTGTAGTATCTCTAGGGCAGCTACTGTTCCACCCCCTTGCAATGTTTAGGATCATGAGGCTTAAATTTGCACAATGTTGTTGCTCTAATTACATAAATGAAAAAAAAACTGAAAAAATGATGAGATGACCTGGTTTTAATGTATCTAGAATCCTGGAAAATAAAATYGGAGAAAGCTTGTCTGGGAACAAATAATACATTTTTTTTTAGTCTGTGAATTGAGGAAAATACAATTGAAGCAACACTGATTTGAAAAAAGTCTTCTGCAGTGTGGTAGCACTCTGTGCTCTCAGACTCTGCAGGAGGATGGGAAGCGCTGTGTTTACTCAAAGTTGCAGGATGTGTRGGGAGTAAACTGAGAAATGAAATCTGGTCCTATAAAAAGAAGGTATTGTTACTTCAGAGAAATAAATGTTTCATGAAGCCTTCTGAGAAGGCATGTTAATTATAGATTGTAACAGAAAATAATCACAGACGTTTTGTCTAATGAGCTGAAATCCTGATACTTCAAGTAACTACCCCATAACATACAATATGATATAATGGTACACWGCACTTTGGTGGTTTTGGGATTTTTTTTCACCTTCCTGGTTTCCAGGATATTGTACAAATTACCTGGGAGTTGTAGTCTAGGTCATGTAATATAATTCCCATTATCAGTGTGAAATGAAAGCAAACACCTTTGCAAAGTGGCTGGGTTTGCTTTGATAAGGATTTGTAGGACTTTCTTCTAGAAACAGCAGCTCAGGTTTGCAATGAGGGAGCACAACACTTTGGGTCAGTGCCAAGAAAAGTTCTGCTATTGTGGGTCATTTTGTATGGACAAGCTTTGCTGTTGTGTTTAGAGGATGGGTCAGTTCTCAGACAGTGCTCGGCTGTCTGTGCCAGTGAAATATGGGGGGTCATAGTTTGGGACAGAGCTTCYTTTGACATCCATGCAACCCACGCTAGGGAAGGGTTTCACCCTACAATAGCCAGGCAATCCTGTGTGTCCTTACTGCTCTCACGGCAGAGCTCTTCCTTCTTCATGCCTGTTAAWGCACAGCGTGTGAAAGGACAATTCACCAATATTGATCACCTGAAATGTCTGTCAAATCTTGCTTTTAGAGCAGCTGATGATTGTGACCCTGCAAGATGGGTATTGTTTATCATTCTAAAAGTAGCTGGCTTCAGATGAATCACGAGCATCTATTTCCAGTTTATAGGACTCCCACTGGACAAAAAAAACTCCACAAACTTCACAAAATTCAGATCACTGCCAATTACCATTAACTTTCAGTTATTGATTATGGTGTTGGGAAATAAAGACGAATAATTGAACAAGCATTTAGGGAAATATCCCTTRGCTTTGTTCCAGACATGTCTCTCCTGCCTTCTGATCTTCAGCCTCCTCACTCCACACAGGGAGGTGGTCAGGATGGGATGAGGGTTGGTGTGTTGAGATCCTCTTTCCTTTGCTGCTCCTCATTCCTTACTCAGCATCTCTGTGTTGGCTGCAGCCTCACCTCCTCCTCCTCCGCCTCCTCCTCCTTCTCTTCTCTCATTTGCACAGCCATCCTGCTCAGGTGCCTCCTCTCTCCTCCCCTGCTTTTCTCTTGGTCTGTTGGATGGTGGTGATGTTCAGCTTGTGTCACTAAGATAAAAAAGAAACCCTAACAGTAAAAACAACTTAGTGAGGACACACAGAGACCCAAACTCTGTGAACCTGCTTGGTGGCTGGCAGCTGAAGGCCCCTGCCACCCTTTGTTTCAGCAGTGCCAGAAGGGGCTGGGCAACCCAGGTGTGTGGCACACAGACAGCAGGACTGTTTTTCCAAGGTTTCACATGCCTTCAAAGTGCATCTGTAATGTTGGGGTGCTCATAAAGCGGCAGGCAGCTTTGTGTATGGCAGGATCACAGCCTGGGGCTCTTACAGAGGTTGCACAGAGTGGGAACATAKGAGGCTTGAAAAGGTTTAGGTTCAACTCCAGTGTCGTGCTGCCCTGTTTATGGTACCATTGCCACCAAGCTTCTTAGTGGCTATGTTTTAACACTGATATCTGTACATTTCTGGCAGAAACCCCCAACTAAAGCAGGCTTACAAATGCAGGAAATGCCTTTCAACATTTCTTAGGAGTATTTCKTTCAATCTTTTCCCAGACTGCCTTTTCAAGGTGTGTCCTATGAACAGATATTCAGCTCAGAAGCAGTACTGGAAAGCCAAGCAAGCCAAACAAGGAAACCATACCGAAGCTGCACTGCTGAAGAAACTTCAAGTAAGAGRCATCTATATTTGTAATCTTATCTCAATCTGCAGGCTGTAAAATTACAATAGCACCAGAAAGAATAATAACAAGTGCCTTGGGAACCACTGTGATGGGTATTATTATACCACCATAGCAACTCTATATTCTCCATAGCTCTCTTACCTCATGACTRGCATTTAAAGCCCCTGGCCTGGTGYTTATCTCACTTTGGGCTGGGGGTTTTGCCTTKGCTGTAAGCAARGTAGTACTTTCAGAAGTTTMATGACGTAAAAATGAAGTTGTTAAAATYGGGATGGAGCCCTGGTTTAAATAATGCTGGGAGCCCTTTCCAGGAATTAGGCAGAAGAGTGGACAAAGAGAAGTTCTCAGTGCTTTAGCCTGGAAATTCCTCATAACTGTGTTTGTCCTTGCCTTCAGTCTAGGTTRTTCTTTTGTGAACCATTTCACAGATTCTATTTTGCCTCAAATACAGTGTGGACRGAGCAACTCCTCTGTCTCTGAAAAACAGCTGGCCAGATGTTACAGCTGAATGGATGAGACTAAGTGAGAACACRGTCCTGTCAAACCTGGATGACAATTGTGTGAGCAGTGGAGAGGCCACCAGTGCTTCCAGTTAAAAACAGCAAGGAAGTCACATGGTGTGTGGCCAAAATTACACATCAATTAGTKTTAGGAGGTGAGAGTTTGCTCTGTGGCTGGGTTTGACCCAGACTATTGTGCTTAATCTTGATGTTTCTGTGTGCGACCTACTATTTTGGTTTTGTTATCAAGTCTATCTATTTATATACAATTAAACCTCAACAAGTAAACAGAGTGGTGGCAGTGAGAAACTAATCACAGGCTCTTTTTATCCTCTCCAGGATGAAATAAAGCCCCTGAAATTACTTTTTAGGCTTGAAAGTTTTTAAAATACCATRCATCTCAGGTGTAACCCATAAATTGTGACAGAGTCTCTAGTTTGGGTAATAAAACCCTGAATCAACATCAGGATTTGGGTGCTAGTATTTTCTGTGCAGTAATGCTTGTAGGTTGCAGGATTTAAATATGATGCAATTTCCTTTTTGCACTGTGTGTTTCAGTAGCTGAATACAGTACTGCTTTTGTAGAATTTAAAGAAATAATGATTCTCTTGCAGCATGCGGCAGAACTGGAACAAAAGCAGAATGAAAGTGAGAACAGAAAGCTGTTGGGCGAAATTGTAAAATACAGCAATGTCATCCAGGTAAACCTATTAAAATCCACCTGCCTTCTCTCAGTGTTGGAAAGGAAACAGTTGTTTCATTTCAAGGTTACARTGAAAATTAAACTACCCACTGTAATCTGGACTGTCAAGGGTCAGGTAAATAGAACTTTGGTGAAGTTTACAATATTGTGCTTTTCTGTCTGTTTCAAAGCCTACCAGAAGTTCTGCACATTTGTGTTTAAATAATATGTCATAATAAAAATTCTCTGTGTATTTCTTGGTGCTGCAGTTTAAAATCTGGATRTAAATATGTGACTTTTATTTTCAAGACTTGTTTCAAAATCACCTACAGAGGTGCTGTGCAGCTCCTTTTAAATCACTGAAGTAATCTGTATTTCATGACATATAAATGAGTCGGGAGCTATGTTTTAAGTGCAGTACAACTTTCCTGTAATGGATGTAATYCCTGAAGAGAACACTGCAATGGACCCTTGCCCTGCTGTAAAATTGATCTCTGACACRTTTCTCTCAATCTGAGATAGATCATCTGTTTTCCTAAACTCTAGCATAGTTTGATAACTGCCTTCTAGTTTTATTTTATACATATATTTGTATATACATATACATATTATGTATATACAAATACATATTATTGTATATACAATATACAATAATTGTATATTGTCTTTATACATATTATTGAAAATCACTGCAATGTGAAAACCTGCACCTCATCTTTTGACCACAGGGAGAAAAAGCAAATRAAAGTTGTACTAATTTTAAAAAATATATTCTTTGTTCACAGCTACTGCACATAAAAAGTAACAAGTACCTCACAGTCAATAAAAGATTGCCAGCTCTGCTAGAGAAGAATGCTATGAGGGTGTCTCTGGATGCTGCAGGGAATGAGGGCTCCTGGTTTTATATCCAACCATTCTGGAAACTGAGGAGTGAAGGTGACAATGTAAGTGGGGATATTGAATGTGTTAAGGAGAAGGCAGAAGATTTCCAGATGTAATTTCTTTGCTGCTGGCCTATTTCATAATGGATTAAATTCAGGAAGGAAAAARTTAGAAGAGTGATTGGGACTATTACCCTTCATGTGTAACTGGAAGGTGTTACTAAATTAAATGGTCTGGAATCTGATGTGTTGCCACATTCAACTTAGCCTCTCTGTTGGGGCATCTTTGTTAAGTCTACTTGTTGTGTGCAGATTTACAAAGCTACAAGAAATCATAGTTTATGCTAGAATAAATTATTTTAAAGATTWTTTTTAAATATTGTGAGCAGCATTTTTTTTCAAGAGGTCGGTAGAGAATGYCTCTAGGAAATGCATCAGGTTTCTTTAAATCTGTATTCTCTCCTAATGTGAAAATGTATCTGTGATTGGAGCTGGGTTGCATRGTCTGGAAGGTCTTTTCTGGTTAGTTTTCAACAGGAGTCTTGCATATTGGTGAGAGGAAGAACGCACAGGAGAGCTCTTTGCTACACACCTAAGAGCTGTGCCATGAGATCACAAGTCCCTTCTTCATCCTGTGGCTTGGTCAAGTGCCTGCTGTGGRGAATTCAGATCTGCCTCCGAGAAGGCCACATGATGATGAAATTGTGTGGTTTTGTGTTATAGACATGGCTGGGAATGTTTGGCTGCTTTCCCCTGTGCATAATCAGTGAAAGCCTTCTCAGGACCACAGAAGGGAATGCCTCTTTTTTGTGTATTTTATCTCATTAATTTTGTGGTTACCCAACTCTTGGGATGCTCTCCAGGAYAATGAGTGTGGGTGCTTGCAGCTCCTTTTGCAATCTGTTGTGGAAAGGAGAAGGATTGCATTCCCAGCTCCTGGTCAAATATCCCTAAAGTCACAGTCTTTCCCTCCTCCATGTAGTGATCCAAAGGGTGTGTGAAAATCCTTCTTTTTTCCAAAGCCTTCTGCAGAGAAATACAGCCAATATAACCCTCGGGAGGATCTGCATGGCTTTTCAGCTGGGTAAAACAAATGTGGCTTAAATATTAACCTGGTATTTCTTTTCCTTCTTTGGAGAGAAAAAAGAGTGGCTTATTGTTTTGGCTTAATTTCTTAGAATAGCATCAGTTTAGCATCTTTTAATTTCTCATGCCTGGAAAACAAGTAAATGTCTTGCTCTCCAGAGGGAGGACCTGGGATTCCCACCTGTCATCTGCAAAGTCACCATGAGTCCTTACAGCTGAGAGCAGCACAATGACCTTAAAGCTTCAACATCATCCTCAGTACTACAGAGATTCTGATTCCATTTTCCACTGCTGTGTACACAATGAGAGTTTGGAAGCAGATTTGCTGATATAAAATGTTTGCAGATCATTGCAGTGATGGCTGTAACATCCCATTCCACAGACCCCTMTCCTAGTTCATTCCCATGTGGGGACTTAACCAACAGGTTCTGAGCTATGAGGGCCATGTGGGAAACTGTCCTAGGCTTATTCCTAACTCAATGGAAAAAGTTTCTTTGGAAAGGCCTGCTCCTCATTTTCTGTTACCTACTTGCCTTTCAGAGCTGGGAAGTTGCCATTGTAATTTATCAGAGCTGGGAAGTTGCCATTGTAATTTACAGAGGTAATTTGCAAGGGGAAGTTGTTTCCCATTTCTACCAGGCCCAAACGGATTTGACAATTTTCTTTGCAAATTCCTAGTGATAAACATTAGTCCTTTGGTAGCTTTCTCATAAGTGCTTTTGCACTTTTCTACCCCTCCAACAGATATACAAACCAGRCAGCTGTTTCACAGAGGGCAGCAGTAGCAAGCAATGGGAGAAATCCTCATTTTCCTCTCATAGATGGAGAGAGGCTCCAGCCTCGGACCCTCTCCTTCCCTTTCAGTTACTCCCAGACATGGAAACCCTTCTATTCATGGAGTTACCTTAGTACATCAGGCCCTTACTCTGTTTAGAAACTTTGGGGTTTTTTTAAACTCTATTTCTGTACTGTAATGAGGAGATTCCCTAAGAAAACACATTTCAGAAGGTSTTCAGAACAATAGAAATGAATATTTAATTACTGCTTGGATGGCTGCTGTTGTGTCAGGCAACCCAGGCAAGGTATATCCAAATATGCCATATATCCTAAAGGAAAAGGAATCTGGGAATCTGACACAGGAAGTGAATGACTTATGAAATATTTTAGAACTTAGTTTTCTGAAAGAAGTTTAGCTTAGCTTCAATAGCAACTAATTAATTATGCAAGTCAGTGAAAGTAAAGAAAGAACATGACTGAAAATTTACAGTAACTGACATAACTGCAATATTTTCTGCGGAGTTTTGCTATGTCTTCATTATTTTTGAAGATGGTCTTTGATGGAAGATGGGACTGATTAAGGCTAGAGCTGGTTCCAGATGGACTGGACAACAAAATACGCCCTGACAGCAGGATTGGTGCTGTCTGGATTGCTTTGCAGTTATCTGCCATTTTASTGTTTTCTTTTCARATAAGATCCTTAATGATGTGCTCTMTTACTAATTAAGTTGTCATAGTCCTGGTGTACATGCAACAATTTTGAAGTCGTGATTCCACTTYGCAGGAGGCAAACCTGGTGGTATTTTGGTTAATGAATTGTCTGGTCATAACTTCTTAAAACAGGCTGTAAGTAATGTCTGTGTGAAGCATGGCATGCAGGAATGTATTGCACAAGTAATGTGTCTTACAGGCATCTTGTCATTATTTTGGTTCTGTCAGTGAACTTGTTCCCATGACTTGGATCAAGTAGGATTTCTGTGTGTGATCTGAGCATGATGACCGTGTCTTATGTTACTGTTTATTTTAGCTGTGTTGATAAAAAGCAGGCAAACTTCCTTTTCRCCTCTGCAATAAGTGGGCCATATTCACCTGCACTGAAGTTGCACAAGGCTGAACTGGGCTCAGCTTTTTCAGAGGAAATGTGCTGATCAACGTAGAAAACGTTTTTGTTTATTTGTTTTCCAAAAAAAAGCATGGCTTTTGCAGCATTTCATGTRGTAAAAAAATCACATGTAGCCACTTGTCTTTATGTCTGTGTATGCTTGAAATTGCTGTGAACAACRTAAGCAAATCAGTACCAACCAATTTATGTGGATTGATTTTTTTTTATTATTTACTTTGCCCCCTTCCAGGCATGAATTGAATTCTCCATGTGCATGACTCAAGCAGTTTTTAGGTTAAAGAAAATTTTGCATATTGTTTTTCTCTGTCTATAGAGGTAGAGTTGCAAGGGCATGGGAATCTGCTTGCAGGGAGCCAGCCAGGAATTCTTCTTGCAAAGAGAAGGTCTCTCAGCTGTTTTACCTGCTGCTGAGCTCAAACCCCACTTAGGGAGTAACAGCAGAATGGAGGGAGTGTGTTCACCTCTCTGTGAATTTATAGTGATTTCTGTGCCTTTCTAGATTGCAGTCAGGAAGTTTGAATCACAGAACTCCTGAGCCTGTCATGACATTTGCCAGCAGATGGTCCACAGAGCTGGGSATTCACTATTACTTTCTAATCTTTCTCTGCCTGGGATAAAGGAAACTTAATGTAACTTATAGATGAACTGAGCTGCTCCTGGAATTCATAGATTCATATCTATTTCATGGTCTGGAGTTTCTGCTGAAGCAGGGGACATGCTTATTGGGAATGTGAGGATTCCTTAGTGGGAAACCTTGAACCCAAGTGATTGCAGATCTTGGGTGAGCAGAGCTGCTGTGTGAATTGTCTGCAAATAAATTCACCGAGTGCCATTCATGGAGCATGCATTTGASTCATTTTCTAAATATGTTACATTAKTTCATTTTRTTGGATAACTACATAGGTCTGAATTGCATTTTATTTCTGACTTCCAGGTTGTGGTGGGAGATAAAGTTGTTCTCATGCCAGTCAATGCAGGACAGCCTCTGCATGCCAGCAACATTGAGCTTCTAGACAACCCTGGCTGCAAAGAGGTGACTTCAGGGGGGAAGAAGGGGAACTGCTGATCTGGGATGTGTTATAGAAAGGCTGAGAGAGTTGGGATTGTTCAGCCTGGAGAAGAACAACGCATTGGGGTGACCTCTATGTGGCMTTCCAGTGCCKGAAGGGAACTTACAGAAAAGACRGAGAGAGACTCTTGACAAGGGCCTGGAGTGACAGKACAAGGGGRAATGGCTTCACACTGACAGASAGGAGGTTTGGATTCAGTATTGGKAAGAAWTTATTCCCTGTGAGGRTRGTGAGGCCCTGGCACAGGTTRCCCASAGAAGCTGTGGCTGCCCCATCCCTGGCAGTGYCCAAGGCCAGGCTGGATGGGGCTCTGAGCARCYTGGGATAGTGGAAGGTGTCCYTGYCCATGGCAGGGGTTGGAATGAAATKATATTTAAGGTCYCTTCTAACCCAAGCCTTTCTGTGATTCTTTGACATGTTGTTCTTTACTGGTAACCAGAACCCACCATGAGCTCACCACGGGCTCAAAGCTGTATTAAACATTGGCTCCAAAAGTCTCGAAAACCCAAGATGCTGCAATTATGCCTGGCACTGGAAACTCCGTGAGGTTTGCTTGAGTATCTCAGACTCTCACTGATGTGAATAAATCCTCATCAGCATCTCTGAGGGTGTTGTTGGTAGGCTGTCAGCAGACAGAGYAGCATTTTGCCCACTCAGTCTTCTCCAGCATCACCATCATTAACTCTTGATCCATGTTAGGAACTGTACAGATATGTAGCTAAGCCATGTCCCCTACCATCCTAGATGTGGTGTGGTCTTTCAGAAGAATGGAAAGAACATCCTCTATTACTATAATTGTTTTTTTGTTTTGTTTTGTTTTTCTAAAGGTAAATGCTGTCAATTGTAACACAAGCTGGAAAATAACTTTGTTCATGAAATTCAGTAGTTACCGTGATGATGTACTGAAAGGAGTAAGTATGATTTTTAAATTGTTTTTTGAATCCAGAAAAATCTTACTATATTTGACTGTAGAGAAACATTACGTGGTGAATAAAAGAAGAAATAAGGACTTTATGAAGGGGTTGTAAGTGGTATTACAGCCTTATAGATGACAATAGCTGTAATAAGACAATGTAGCTTTACATGCTGAGGTATTGCACAGTTTCATTCACAGTAGATTAATCTCTGAGATGACTTACATTTTMATTTTAATGATAGATTTAATTTGTCCTCACATGTACCTTAATAAATCATCATCAACTGGCTATTTTCCAGTAAGTGTCAAGGCACCAGCAGTTTTTGAGAAAGAATTAGTAAGGGAAAATGGTATTTCTGTGTAGAACCATTTAGGAATAGTGTTTCAAGCCTTGGGGAGAGGCAGAATGAAACAAAAACTATYCCAGCAGAAGAAATACAGAGGCAGTGTTGGTGTTGATTGCASAGTTGAAGAGATGAGATAATATAATGTTGGAAAATATATTTACTTCCCCTAGATAATAAGAGAGATTAGAAATGAAAAAATCAATTTAGTAAAGTTAACGAGTTAAAAATCACCTTTAGGTTAATTATTGCCCACTGTTCACTGTGATGCTCTGAAACAAGGTCTGCTTTCCCAAAAGGCCATTAATTATCCCATTTGATTTGGTACCAAGACTGAATGCTCTTCACTTGGTACCWGCTCCAGCAACAGGAAACGCAGAAGTGTTTTCTTCCCATCAGCTCTGCTGGCATCACTGGAGCTATTACAAATACAGAAAATAAGTCTGGGGCTTTGCCTACCACTTAATAATGCTTCTCTTTCCTATTGCTTTAGGGAGATGTTGTGAGGCTTTTTCATGCAGAGCAAGAAAAGTTTCTGACCTGTGATGAATATGAGAAAAAACAACACATTTTCCTTCGCACTACATTRCGTCAGTCAGCGACGTCTGCAACAAGTTCTAAAGCACTCTGGGAAATAGAGGTATTTTTTTTTCTCTTTATAAATATTTTAGGACATGAAGGCCGGGGTTCAGTAAAAAGATTTCACCACAACGTGAGTCATTCATAGGCTCCTAATACCATCATACACCTCCCTGTAACTATTATTATTTCATGAAGCGGTTTGTGTAGGATGAACCCTGAAGAGCTGCTTTATTGCTCTGTGTGTGTGGAGAGAGGAGGCTTTCTTACTATATTTACCTGCACTAAAATGAGGAAGAGTCGAATTTCAAATTCAGACTTGACGTAGAYGGTGTGATTTTATCAAAGCCAATCAAAGGACACTCATCTGTCCTGAGTTTTGAGTGTTTACGTTTAACTTCGTGTGCAGTATAGAACATGGAAATTCATGGCTGACAGGAAATCTCACAAACATCACACAACACATCAACATTTGTTTAAAGCTAACCTGCATGAAGGTRTTGTTGTGAATGGGGGTGATTTTGAGAAGATAACTAGCAAAGATATTTTTGTTCAACTGAGAAACACTGGAATTTGGTATGTTTCAAATCCTTGCTATTACAGTAATGTAACTCCCATACCTAAAAGTTCTTGTGTGGTGAACAAGCTTAGTGCATTTAGGACAGAGTGTTCAGAAAAATGGTTGATTTTTGTCTGGGTAAGGATTGTCTGGAATAGTGTGTGGCACTTGTAATTATTGGAGATTTCTCCTTAAAAGAGACAGACACTGCTAGATTTGAAGAAAGCAAATGGCCTACAGCTAAGTCCAGGGATAAAAGAAATAACCTGGCATATTTCAGATGATATGGGGATATATCACTTGAATGAAGATTTTTCAGAAGCCCCTGGTATTGCCAAAAATAGAGCTGGTATAAATTGGTAAAATAATATAAGATCATTTGAATTTTGCTTTTAAGTAGGGCCCAGTAGTGTAGAACTCTCCCTACTTTCTTGAGCTCCAGATTCACACCACATCACTTAAAAGCAAAATTTGGCTCATCATGTTYGCAGGGAATAGATTAATGAAAGCKTGGAAAGTAACAGGAGTATTTCCTGGCAAAAAGCAAGTGTAAGTAGTTGTTATCTATGGTGAGCTTCATGTTAGCACAGAATTCTTCCCYTTGGCAGACTGTAATAATGTAGTTTGCATATTTTTATTTGGAGTGAGCTGCAGGAAATGTCAGTGGTCTAAAGTATGATCTTGAGGAGCATGATTAAAATCTGAATTCTTCTTTTAGGTTGTCCACCATGACCCTTGCCGGGGAGGGGCTGGACAGTGGAATAGCTTGTTTAGATTTAAGCATTTGGCAACTGGAAACTACTTGGCTGCAGAGGTAAGAATGCCAATTAAACAAGTGTTTGTGTGCTGCCCAACAAAGTCCTGCTGGTTCAGAACTGCTGTGATAGGAAGGTCTGCAGTTTAGATCTRCAAAAAGATCCCTCAGCGGGCCACTGCTGGGTCATACTGTATTGCTGCAATCCAGGGATTGCAGGGCAAACACTGCTGATAAATATCCACCACATTTACACWGAAAACCCTTGCGTTCATGTTATCTCTCTGCTCCTGTTTGCCCTTGATTTTTGGAGTAGTGTTGTGACTGTATATTGGTGTCATGCAAGTTCATTGTGATTATACAGGCTGCAGTGTTTTGCTATTGCACTCTTGCCTTTTGACTAAAATTTGAATTAAAAAGGATCTGAGGAAGTCTTTGCCCCCTTTGATGGAACAGCAGGCCCCAGAGGAAAAGGAAGATCTTGCAACTTGTCTGGTAACTGACTGGTACTTTGTGTTAAGGTRAAAGAGTATTGTGACTCCCCAAAAGAGCAGCTTAATATCTTTTAAGACTCCTTAACARTAAAAGACGACTCTTGACAAGCTGAAGTAGAGCAGATAATACCAAGTGCATGAAATGGCACAGCCTTGGATTTTTTTAGTGGTTGCAAGAAGCTGTGAACTCTTCGAGCTGTATCTAATCCATATTAACATGTCTGTGTCCAAGTTGTGTCAATGGAGTGAAAAGTAGATTTTTTTCCCCACTAATTTAGTTAGGATTGCTTCTTTTGACTTATGTTTTGAGGTATGAGAGTGAAAATTTACTACAAGAAGAAATGTGTAAATCACTATATGTTAGGGAATCCCTGAAAAAGGACTTGCTCTCACTGGGTTCAGTTAGATTTACAGCAGTGCAACTTCTATATGCAGACAGCTCCATGGTATTCCCAGGGTGCTGCTTTCATTTTCCAGCTCCTGTCACAGCTTGCACTGAATTCAGAGGAAGAACAAACAGGAGCTATCAAACCTTCATTTATTTCTAATTATGTCAAGGCCAGTATCTAAACATAAACAGTGGACTGCTAATAATAGCTAATAATAGCTAATTTTCAAGAGGCAACCCGTGCTCCCACCTAAGAGTGGGAGTGTTTTCCTTTCTGTTTACAGTGAGAGGTGCTCCTAGTAGGAAGATTTTACTAGCTAAGCTGATGGAGAGTYAGGAGAGGCACTGAGCACACTGATGGGCTTCYTTCTCCCACCAGATGATCTGYCAGGGGGATTTTTAGGAGGAAAATCTTCAGRTGAAGAGGTGCCACCTGCCCTGAATGTCAAACCCRASCTCAGGTCCTTTCTGCCTCTGRGAAGGAAATCCCCATCAGGAAGAAYTGTAATGTGGAGAATACAATTGGCAACAGGGGGGTGAGAGCTGGAGGAGCTTCAGGATTGAAGAGAAGTGATGTGCTGTGACTGGAGAGCTGCATTAGTGACTGTGTCTATGAGGTGTAAAATGCCTGTGGTGGAAATACTAAAGGTGCTGCCATAATAAAACCCTGTGAACTGCATTTTGCAAAGTTCATATGTCAGGCACAACACACCAGCCAGCCAGACACGTCAAAGATTCATGAACAGGCAGGCAGACACCTCGTGTGCGTGACCTAACTTTAAATCAATTGGGCAAAGCCTACTGAACACTTATCTGTGCTCTTGCAGCACAGGGAGATTACCCATGGTATGGATTATCAACAGCGTCACACATTGCCATGACCTGATTTTGTTTAAGCCTCCATGAGAAAGATATCTAGAGTGCAATAATAAGTACAAAAACAAGAACAAAATTCACAAACCTTTAAAGCATTCTTTTGTTGGCTAATGATGCAATTTCTGTCAGTTTGAGCTGTTGTAAATCAGGATTCATCACTGTCAATAACTTCTTTCTTACTTCATCCTCCCTTAAGTCAACTTGGTGTGTGCCATGGACACTTCTGCCGTGGAGTCTTGCATGGTCAAGTCTCAAAGAGCAGAAGTGTCCTTCACCTGGGTGCCTCCCTTTTGTCCTTTGCTGTTGGTCTCGTGCCTTGTGTGAGCAGTCTGTGCCTTCTCCTTCTCTCTGAGTTTTTCTGTGCCAGATGTAACTGGCCAGATCTGCTTGTGATTTGGAGGGTCACTACTGAGCCACATTGTGAAGGGATGCCCCAGCAGCTTGTTAAGGCCAGGGGATGATCTGGGGACTAAGAAGATAGAAGATACTTGTCACAGAGAATTAAATAATTTAAAGGTGATAAAGGTGTTTCAATACTACAGTAAGTTAATTAAAAAAAAAAAAAAGTAAGGCAATACAGTTTTTCTGTAAACAAAACATAGTAGTGTAGTTGTAAATCTCATTGTTATAAACTTGAGAGGATGCAGTCAGGATGTGTCAGTCCTAAATTCTGTGTTCCTTAGACGTACAATCAGTTGTCCAACTTTTGTTACCTAACAAAGACCTCTGATATCTCTGACTTCTGACACAGTCTCAAGTAGCAGAATTTCCTTTAATCCTCTTTCCACTTGGCATTATTTAGCCTAATTTTAATTACTATGCTTTGAAGTTCTTTAAGACCTACTAATACCTTAAAGCAACCTAGATCCTTCTACCAGGCTTTGGGATGAAGGTGAGCCACCCTGAAAGACCCACTGCTGAAGGAGTCACTGTGGGAGACATTTGGTAATTCCACATACCTGCRTTGTCATTCCCCTGCTGCTCTGCACTCCTGGGACACACCAGATGTCKGTGTGCTCTCACACAATTACTTAAGGCACAGCAGGAATATGATGAAGAAAGGGTTGGTTGTTTGGTGATAAGATTTGGGATACTGGAAATCTGGATAGGTGGTAATGATGTCTGACATTTGGAAACCTTAAGCCACAGGCTCAGACATTCCCCCCCCCAAAAATGGAACCAAATACTCAATTGAAAAACTGGAAAGAGAAATTGTCTTCTTTGGAGACAGTGGGAGTTCTGCTGTTAGTGTCAAAAGGGCTTGTTTTCACCCAAAAGAGCTGAGCCAGATCTTTAGCAGGAGATTTAGGCATTAAGCCACCAGCTAAGATCYAGGCTGCTGAGTTTCATTCTCAGAACAGAGTTTTATTCTCATCTTCACAGAGTCAGCAGTCTTTTAGAAAAAGTTCTGTTGAAGATTCTTTTTATAGCCCTGGTTACAGCAAAATGACCCAAGTTATTTTGAAGCTTTACATTTGTAAAGAGAGGCTGCAAGGTTAGGTGAAATTTGGATGTTTCAAAGTAACAAAGATTTTCCCAAAAGTCTTTTCAGTGCATGTACCACATGTAGAAACCACCTAAATCTRTCTCTCTGTGTGTGGGAGTGAGCTGCAGTTTGCTTGAACTACCTTGCAAATGCTGCAGGTTGGGACCACACAGCTGTGCCTTTCTCACGAGCACACGCAACCTTTTCAATGTTCTAAATTGCCAAGATAAAAGTCTCTTTGAACTGAATATCACCTTATCAATTGTGCTGGACCAAAACAAGCACTTTTAATATTGTTCTCCATGTATATAGTAGCTCCAGTTCCGTGATTTCTAAACTGGGCAATTCATATTGAAACTATTAACACTAGTTGTATGAGGCTGTTAAACAGAGATATGTGTGCCCACACACAAGAAATGCAGGATAAGTCTGTCATTTCATATTCAACTGGTCAGGTGTGGCTAAAATAATTACAAAATATATGTACATGTATCAAATCACATGCTGGTCTCAGATATTGCAGTAGACAATAGATAAGCCAAAGTACATTGCTTGTGAAGCATTGTGAGTATGTACCTAACCATAATMATAATTTGTAAGGAAAAATCTGTGATAATTCTGTTTTACTTAGCTGGGTAGATTAGAGTTGCTAGATAGMTTGGCTAAAATATGGCAGTAAATCTGGTAATTTAACACCAAATTTGCTCTATTATACTAAACGAATTAAGATAAGGCAGGTAAAATGGCAGCCAGAATGTTTGCATTCTGTGCTTCCCCAGAACTGTGGCCATAAACAAGGGTTCAGATTACTGCTGTGGAAAACTCTTCTGACTTTCTTATAGAGTTCTTTCTCCTCTCTCAGTAAGAATGAATGGGCAGGGTTTAAGCTGTAAAATGGATCAACTCWGATCAGAGTTTTGTTTTAAACTCTGTTTTTAAAATCCCACATGAAACATCCTTCCAGCTTTAGGATTATTTTAGCACTAAATACTCAGTGGAGTTTCTTTTGAAGATAGGAATGATAGAATTCAGTAGGGCTGAGCATCACAGGGTTACAGCCACATGAGGTCAAATGACAATTAAATGAATATTAATAGAACAGGAAGTCCAGTCCAACTCGCCATGACTGTGGTTCAGTGGTAAAAGCACTGCAGTGACAGCACAGGCTTCAGAAATGTCCTGTTTCCTCAGGTCTTGGATTGCAGTCTTGTGACACAAAGTCCTGTCCCTGAGGTGGTGTTGGCATGGACTCCAGGGCATGGGGAAGAGAGAATAGGCTGTTCTGGAACAGGGTCCCTGAGCTAAGGCTTCAGGCATGGATGTTTTGGGTGCTTTTACAGGAACTGCTGAAGCCTTGTGGGACTGTCAGCTGATTTTCACCTCATTGTGGTGCAAACCACTTGCTGAGAACTCTTGGATCAATGGCTAATAGAAGTTGCTCATATTTCTCTTGTCTTTCATGAATAATTTCTTRCTATATTACCTCACTCTACTTTTCTGTCAAAGTTGCCCCAAACTGGCCCTTTCTTTTCAGAGCAGCTTATGTACAACATTCCCTTTAAATTGAGAATTCCTATTAAATTTTTCTTTTCAAGTCCATGGCAAAGGGGTCAGAACGAGTAGATCTTTAAAGTCCCTTCCAACCCAAACCATTCTATAATTCTATGATTAGAATTCTATAATATGATGCTATGATGAAAATATTAGCCTGCCATGTTATATATATTGTTATGGTATGCAATTGTCCAGATGAACAGGGCCATACTCTTCATGGTRAATTTAAGCCTGTTGTAATAATCACTTGCTTTGGATCATG